ATTTCTTTGTCCTCTTTTATAGAGCTACATTCATGGGAGCAGCCAGGCCCAATTTGTCGCAGAATCACACATTATTCTGGTACTGAATATCCTTTAAAATACTGATGAATTCAAAAAGGCAAACCAAAGCTGCATGTTATTAAATTGATATTTTCCTGTCAGTAAATATCAAGACTTTTAAATGACATTAAATTTTAAGCTGTACTATATGACTAATTTTTAATTCCTATGCTAATTAGTTCCTATTACAGTATAATTTTGTTATTCTGAATCATTAACAGACTGTAATTTTCTCTTTTTTACTTACAATTGAATTTGAAAGTATTGCTTTTATTCTGCATTGATTATCTTTGGATAGATTTTTTGTGAAGTTTATATGGTTTTCCCCTATAGCATCTCAGTGGGGAGGAAAAAAGCGCTTTATGATATAAATAGCAAAGTAATAAAGGAATTATCTTAATACTGCTTCCCTTGAATATATAACAAGTCAGAAGAGAGAGAGTTGGGATAGTTAGACATCTCTTTTTGGTCATATCAGACTACGTGTTGCAAATCAGACCATAGTGTGTAATTTATGACTTGGAGTCATAGAAGGATAAAGAAGATAGCAGGATAATGAAGAGGTAATGTTTAAGCATCTAATGTGAATATTCTTAGAATGAAGTAAAGTTACTCTTTGGGCAAACAGCATATCGGGGGAACTTGATGTTTGTGTAAGTCTTGTGAAATGTTTGAAGGTTAAATTTATAGTGTTGTTTGAACATACTGAGTCATTACAAGAATTTAAAGTGTGCCTATAGTATCGTATGTGTAGTATTTAAAGTTTATAAATACTACAAGTTTATATTTATAAAACTTGATAACTATCCCAGTTATTCATATTCAAATGAAGTAGTCTAGACCAAATTCTCCAGTTTTTTATATAATCATAGCTATAAACCTTTAAATATCTTAGAACTCATCTAGGCCAAAACTGTATTTTATATGTAGGAAAACTAGAGCCCACAAAAGTTTATTGACTTGCCTTAGGTTAGGGGAGGAACTAGGATTAGAATTCAGTTTTCTTTTCCCTGGTCTATTGGTTGTAAAGGTACTTAAGTTTTTAAATACAATACTTTATTATGGTCTGTGACATATAATTTCATGAATCAATGTCAGTCATGCCATCTTAAACTTACTACTTTTAATGTGAGTGGAAAAGACTATCTTTTTAACAACATTGATGTTTTTGTGTTTTATTACTTGGTTGTGTCGTAACAATGCATTTTTTTTTAATCTACCAGCAAAAACTTATTTGATACCATCAGTTTATTCAAGCAACCTATTATATTTACTTACGATCTTCTGGGTGCTGTATCAGTTACTAGTATATACTAAGCCGATGTATTAAATTATGGTGAGGAAAAGGGTTGGGAAGTGTTTAAAGCACTTATAATTCTCAATAAGCTCACAGACTTCCTCGCTTGTAAAATCAGGACTAGCAATACTAACCACATGGCATTTCTGTGTAAAGTAAATGAGATAACACACATAAAGCATCTAGAAATTACTAAAGACTAGTTGGTTTATCCTTCGTATATTTTCCCATCTTTCTTACTTAGAACTTTGATGGTTACCAGATAGCATGCATAAATACATATTTATTGGTTGATTTTTTAGCATTTGACCAAAGATGTAGATTGTAGATAATCGGGAAAAAAATACTGTGATCATAGTCACAGTGTTTATCAGAATTCTAAAACTTACAGTTGGGGATATACTGAAATGACTTAATTTTTCTAGAGTAAAATTTGTTGAACCCATCCAATCGTGTAATTTACAAGATAATAAAAAAACACTATGAGAAAGCCTGACCTTGGAAACGAAGTTTGAGGAGAGATTATAAGTCTCCAGTTTATACTGGAGGAGAACTAAACACCGTCTTTCTGAAACTCGTTGAGAAACAAAGACCATCTTCTTCCTGTGTATTAGTTTTCAACATTTTTATTACTTCCACAATTACACATATTTGGATGCATACATAGAATTGTGCATAACTCAGCTTATTCCTTGCTTACATTTGTTTACTCACCTAGTGCTTTATGGTTGCAAATTTCAGAAATTATTATGATGAGTATGTTCTTGTTCTAGTTTGTCTTACAGAGTGGAATTGGAAATATCTATATTTGAGTAAACATTCTCAAATTCTGTAATCTTCCCAGTGCAGTAACTACTGGGTTTCTACACTCCAACTTTAATATGGTGAAAGATTAATACTTTCTGTGCATCAGAAAGACCTTAGGTGAGAAAATAGAATATTTGTGAATATGTTTATAGGGATATTTCATCCTCATTAAAAAGTAAGGGCAAAGCTATATTTACTACTATTTTTCAATTATTTAAATGTATTTAGGAAACAAAATACGTTTCTATTACAGTAAATAGTAAGAAACAGTGTTTGTTGCAGGTAAGTTTTTAGCTCTTATTTGTATATTGTGGTTTCTTTTTTTTTTCTTTCTTTCAATCGATAGTGTAGCATTTTAGTAGTATACTTTATTCAAGTGACAAGTTTGTTAAAACATATCAGGAATACCTAGCAGAAGAATGAAAAGTATTGTATGGCAGGAATTCTCAAAGTTTCATTTCATGGATCATTGATACCAAGCTGAGATTTAGGATGCAAAGAAATTTCACAAGC